TCCGCCCCGGCAAAGCGGCAGTGAGCCCCCCAGCCACGCTCGGTGCTCCGGGGCCAGCTTTGCGAGTTCCAGCTGCCAGAGCCTCTAAGCCCAGCAAACCCCCCGAAAGGCAGCTCCGGCAGCAAGCGGCCGTGCGGATCCTTGAGCGCGCAAAGGAAATTCCAGCAGGGTCTGGGGTAAGGAGCCAAAAGATTAGCTGCAGCTCAGGCGAAAGCTGCTCCGAAGCCCCGGCACCGCGAGAGCACGTGCAGGCCAGGCCACCGTGGCAGAGCAGGGCAGGACCTGTCAAAGGGCAGCGAGCTGCCCAGCAGGCTGGACACCACCACGCTCTTGTGCTGGGAGGCCAGGATGTAAACCGTCTGCTGGGCCGCCTTGCGGATGTGCTCCTCGTCCACCTCCTCCAGCTTGCTGTGGATGATGCTCATGATGTCGGGCACCTGAGGGAAGAGGAGACGGCGGCATCCAGCTGAGGGCCAGGACATGTCCAGCGCTTGGGTCACCATCAGACGGTCCCTGCAGCCAGGACACGCGTGTCCCTTCCCCTCGATCGCAGCCCAGGCAGTAACGGGACTTCAGGAGACAACACGGGTGGGCAGACCATCAGGCACAGCAGTTTATCTTCCCAGTTGAGGGAAGTCTCCCTGCATGCAGAACCACAGACCTCTCTGGAAGTCAGCGATCCTTCCCCACCCTGCCACCCAGGAGACGGAGGAGGCTGCAGGGTATTCCCAGGGGAAAGAGGACCCAGCAAGGACACACTCGACCCCCCAGCCACAGCCTTCTGGCAAGGAACTCACGCTAAGCCCCAGCCTCGACACGGGTGCAGCGAGAGGAGCTCAGCAAGCGAGTTCCTGAGAGGAACTCAAGCTGAACACAGGGAGACACCTCAGCACTCACTGCAAGCCATAAAACCCACGTTAAGACAAATAGGAAGTTCACGCGCAGACCAGGCCTGGCAGCAAATTCCCGAGATTAAGTGTAGAGCAGCCGAGTGCTCCGTCCCCAGCTGCGCTCGGGTCTGCCCCACAGACTCCGAGGCTTAGCATCAGTTCAGATTTCAGGATCTGGGCTGGACTGGATCTGACCAAAAGGTGAGTCATGTAAGCTGGAGCAATCCCATGTAGAATAGAGGCTAATAGGTAGCGAGCAGGACTTTAGCAGAAGCTCTAGCGCAAAAGAAAGCCCAAGGAGTAGCTAGAGACCTGGTGTTTCCAATTACTGCAAGAGAAAGGGGGAGCTTAGCCCTAAAGGTAGTGGATTAGACAAAAAAGCCTTCTGTGTCCAGCACCTCTAAGCCCTGCAAGCATTCAGACTGGCTTCCCAGCCAGGAACCCTGGGCTCCCCCAGAGCTTGCAAAGGTTTCACAGGGAGCCCGAGCCCTTCTGGTAAAGTGAGCTTCTCTGAACTCCTCAACCCAAGCGAGAGCCAGACTGGAGCCGGCCCCGCCAGCAGCCACCGCCTCCTACCACACAGCAGCCTTCCCCGACCGCGAGGACGGAGGAGGAGAGCGTGAGCACACGTGCCCACGGGAAACGAGGAAGGTCAGGAGCGACAGCCCCCCAAAGCTTTGGGGCAAGTGTTCCCCTGGCCAGAAATGCAACAGCAACAGCTCATACAGAGTCCCTTCAGACAGGGGTTAAACGCCTCCCTTCTTCCATCAGGGCTGGATCCCTCCCTGTGCTGGGCATCACTCTCCCGCCAAGGGCTTGCCCCGTACTGGAGCATCCCTGCCTGTACCAGAGAAGCCCATCACGCCCAGCAAACCAGCTGCTGGACCTGCAAGCGGGAAGTTATCAGGCTACGCACGTGGGAAGAAAGGGAGGCAGGGAGACCCGTCTGGAGCTGCCTCTCCAAGGCTGCGTTTGGACGCGGAGGCAGTGCCGAGGCCAAGCAGCAGCAGCTTACCTTCTCCTGCAAGACGCCTCCGCGCTCCTTGAGAAGGGAGTTGATCATGACGGTGGCTGCTCGGGAACAGTTCTTATCGGGGTCCGCCAGCCCCTCGAACATGGCGAGCAAGAGGCTCATCAGCTGGTCCGGAGGGACGCGCTTCCCAATCACCTAGGGAGAGGGCAAGCGGAGTTAAGCAACAAGTTTTTGTCACTCTCTGAAGAGAGCGGTGCCTTCGACGATACCGGCAGAGCCCGGACGAAGGGCCCCCTGCGCAGCTTCCCCAGCTGCAGGCAGCAGGACGGCCGTCCCTCGGCTCAGTGCCCTGCAGGAGCATCAGCCAGGAGCCCAAATGGGTGGTAACGGAGGGGAGCAAGGGCCAGGCCACAGCCCTGAAGGAGGCAAGAGGCCACCCGCCCCACGCTGTTGGCCAGCATGGCCAGGTAACCTGGGGCTCTCTTGGGATGGGATGGGACGGCACAACCAAGCCATTAACTCTGCTCTGGCCACCATCCAACTGCTGGGAGGATGCTTCCCCAGGTCTCATCACGCTCTCCAGGCCTGATGGTGGAATAAACTGCTCAGCAGTTTAGTTAGTGGGGGGTATGTCCACTGGAGTGACAATATTTGAGGAATGGCAGCTTCTCCAGGACAAAAAGATACTACCGACTTCTTTACAGATCCAAGTCCTTCTGGAGCAATGCTTGCAGAGCTCTCAGCATAGAAAATGGCCATCAAGGAGGAGTTGTCCCATGCAACTCTCAAGAGCAGAGTGGTCACCCGCCATCCCATCCCTCACCACAAGATCCCAGATGCTGTCCACGTCATTCAAATCACGGTGGTTTGAGAGCCCCATTTGGACCCTTTTGGGTGTAAAGTTGCACTGAACAGCTTTACCAACACCACTGCCATACCGGGAGGCAGCCAGGAACCCAGCGGCTGCAGCTCCTGAGCCAACCACCCCATGTTCCACAGGAGAGCGCAGCCAGCAACAGGAGGACCTCAAGGGCTTCCTTCGGCCAGCAGCTTCCACTGAGGAGCACGGCGTACCAAAGTCTCCACCCCGGAGCATGCTGAGGCCCCATGCAGGTCCCATACAGCTGAGCTAGACCACCTCCACCTTCACTTTTAGATGACATGGACAGAAACTATTTGCATTATCTACAGCAAAGCAAGTTTTCAACCCCAGCACTGGGAGCGTTGATGGCTGGAGTTCAGGCTGCCCGTCAGACCTGTGAATGGATGCACTGAGCCAGGCATGAGTCCCTGCCTGCGTCCTCTGCGTCCCCAGAGTGTCTGCATAGATGTCCTCATTGGGGTTCTCATGCCCAAAGCGGGGACCACTGGGGGTGAGATGCTCTGAGCATCCCCTGGCCAGGCAGGGGAATTCTCCAGCTGGAGGAGCAGACTGCACTGGCTTGTTTCCTGGTGCAAGACTGGGGCTCCCCAGCAGCCTCCACACTGTGTGGCTGGTCAGAACAGACGAGGCATCAAGTCCTCTGCAGCTCCTGCTCCACAGCTCCACCACCCTGCAAAGACCAGGGCCGTGCTGGATTTGCCTTCCACCTTACCATGGCAATGTTGTTGCAGGTATGGAAGAGAACGGTGAAGTCGGGCTCCTCCAGGCCTCTCTTCAGAGCTTTCAGCCCCTCCACCATCTCATCTCTGTGATCCCGGGCGAAACCTGGATTCAGAAGGAGCATTCAGTGAACAGCATTCCTCATATTTTACATCCACATGCTGCAGAGAGCTGGGTTTTACTTGTGAGCTGGCCCAGCTTTCAGGAAGGAGCCAAGAAAGTGAAGCTGCTGCCAAGGGCCAGAAGAGCTTCCCCGCAAGGAGCCACACTGCTCTGGAGAGCAGCACCCAGACAGAGTCCTCTCCTGGCACCGTAGGGGCTGTGCTTTCCTCAGTGCCTCCATCTGAAGTGGAGCACTGACCTCTCCTGGAGAGAGGGAGAATGCCAGGCTCAACGGCAGGCTCAGAAACCTGCTCGTCTGCACTCAAACGTGGGAGAAAGCCTTTGAAACCCAAACGCTTCAGTGGTGTCCTCCACCAGCCCCGCTTCTGCAGCAAACCGCATTTGCAGGTCGCTCCTTTGGGATCACGGACGTGGAGGGATGGGATGTGCACCCCTCCGCCCAGCTGCGAAGAAGAGGGCTCCTGCTGCTGGCACCGACCGCCCAAGCGGCGAAACCACCCTCCACCGCCCATGCGCCCACCTTCGTAGCACAGCTGGATGTAGAGCAGGCAGTAGACGCAGTCGACGGCGTGCTGGCGAACGCTGGCCAGTGAGTCCGAGCAGCGCGGGGAGAAGAGCGCGATCAGGACGCCGAGGTTGTAGAAGGGGATGACAGTCTGCAGGGATGACAAACACAGGCGACACTAGCAAGGAGAGCACGGGGACACTTTTAGCAGGTACAGCATTTCCCTCCGGCCGCGAAGCCCACCGTCGCACCCCCGCAGGAAGGGACGTACGCAGGAACCGCAGCAAGGCTGACAGCAGAAGGAAGACAGACGCTCGAGCACTGGGTTTACTTACGCTGACGTTCAGCTTGCTCAGGTAGAAGTCCAGCAAGGCGGCGCTGACCTCCACCGCTCGCTGCCGCTCGTGTTCCTTGTTCGACTTGATCCAGGGGCCTAAATGCTACAAGGGGAAAAGCATCAGAAAGGAGAGCAGAAGCTCGGCTGCTTTGCCGTGTGCAGGCAAGGCGTCCTTCAGCCCAGTGACCAGTGGTGCACGCGTGGGCTGTGGGAACTACGGCCCCGACCCCACCAGCTTCCCTGGCTCATCTTCAGGACAACACTGGGTCTCCGCCTCCTGGTGAGGCTGCTCGTGCGTCCCCCCGGCTACCAAAGACCTCCTCATCAGCCAGGTGCTGGCCACCCTTCTCGGGCACCAGCAGGCATGCCAAAGGGGCAATCGCGCGCTTCCTCCCCTTGAGCTTGCCCCAACCAGGCAGCATGAGCACCACACCAGAGCAGCCATGCTGCGTGCCCAGCCTCTGCGGGAGGGGGACTAGGGTCACACTGGACCTCATGTCACATGGAGAAGCAAGGACCAGTCTCGCTAATTCCCACTCTGGGTCCAAAGCTGTCTCTGCCTCGTGACCTCTGGTCGGCAGGCAGGCACCTCGGTTTCCCTGCTTCTCCCTGAAGAACCCACCAAAGCCAGGCTGCACCTACCGCAAACATGTCCTGCAGCCCATGGGGGGTCAAGTTCCTCTGCAGGAGGCTCTTCAGTAGGTCTTTAAGGGCACTGATGGTGTCACCATACAGCATCTAAGGAGGAAAGACTGATCACAGGCTGTGCAAGCACGGCCCCCCATCCCAGAGAGCCAGCCCAGGCACACAAGGAGGCAAAGATCGATCTCTGCACCTATTCTCAGGTTGTAGGACTCTCCCAGGTGTTGGGTGCCAAGATGCAGCCACCTCCAGCTTAGTAGGAAAATGCAGCAGGGACTGAAACGCAGTTTGCAAAATCCACCTTCACTGGAAGTGCCGGGCACATGGTGGGAGTCATGGCCGTGATCTGCACCGAGCGCCAGCAGCTAGCCAGGGCTCAGCGTCCTAGCACAGATGCTTCAGCGCAGACTTTCCAGAAGGGAATTTGGTCCTTCTCCCACTTGGGGATAAGTGCCAGCAAGCCCAGTCTGAATGAGCCCTTTGAAGATGCTCACAGTTTCCTTTCAGGACTTATTTTGGGATAAACTCCAAAAAATAAAAACTACAAAGCTTCATAGGATGGAAGGGAAGAAGGAAAGGATTATTAACTTAAACTTTTAGGTCAGATGCCTGCAAAGACTAGCCGGGGACAGTCAGAGCCCCAGGATCCTGCCTCGAAGGAGCCACAGCAGCGGCAGGCGATTCGGCGGAGCACAGGGCTGCTCTGCAGCCACCCAGCAGCTGCAACAACTTCATTAGCAGCATGTTATTTTCATTCATTAAGCACTCAACCACAACTGAGAAGCAGCTGCAGCCTTTCAAAAGCTAGTTATGTAAAGGCCCCTTCTACCCTGCAGGGTTTCCAGGATCATTTGATTTTTTCCCTCGAGGGAGTTCATGCTCTTATTAGCAGCATTTGGACTCGCTGATAAGCTCATATTTTCTCACTTGCTATCAGAGCACAGAAGGGCCAGGCTTTTTCAAGAGATAAGTGAGCAGAGGAAACGGTGCCGCTTGATCCCCCCGGAGGTGCCCAGCTGAATTGAAAACAGGCCTTTCCCACGGCTGATCTGCTGCCAGGGCGGTGCTGGGGCCACAGGACCCGATTTTCTCACGGGACTGTGAAAAGGCATCTGTGCGCTGCCCCGAAACCAGCGTCCCGGAGCAGCCGTGACCGCAGCTCCTGCGCCGCGGAACAAAGCCGTATCACCCTGCCGGGGCGTGAGCGACCCCATGTTAGCTCCGCATCGGCTTTGCGCTGCCAACGCTAGCTCGAGGCAGGCAGGCGTGGGAGCAGCACAGGCACCTCCCGGCCTGCCTCAGCCTGCCGGCGCTGGATACCGCACCTCCTTGTGTAAGGCATCGCCTCCGTTCTCATCTCTCTCCTTCACCAGTTCCAGCGGCGGCAGGGCAAGCACACTAGCGAGGCAGGTATCAATCAGCTCCGTCCTGTCGGGGTCGCTGAGGTGGGGCTCCAGGATGCTGATCCCAGGTTAAGGAAGCAACACGGATGCATCGAGCACTACGGGAGCACCTTTCACCTGGGTAAGCAGGGAACAAGGATTTTAATATGCACTCCTGCTGACTTGACTCCATACTAAGTGGCCCCAGCTTTAATCGGAAGCAGGCAGTGTTCCCAGCATCTGTGTCAGGAGCTGTGACGTGCTGAGTATTTTTAACTGGAGCTCAGAAGTCATCTTTGCGTGACTGAGAGTGCAGTGCCCTTGGCTCTGGTTTGTACAAAGAAGATTTACTGCAGAGTCCAACGAGAGCTGAGCCCGAGAGCGCTGGGGAAGGCTAGCTGGCAGCCGTGCCAACCAGACTGCCCGGTTTCACTGTGTCCAGCGCAGCTTTATTAACGTGCCACCGAGGGAGAGCGCCTCGGCTCTGCCGTCAGACCCACACGGCAAACCAGGGAGCGGGGTCAGGCTCTGCAGGAGCAGCAGCTCCGGCCAGCGCTGCAAGCGGCATTCCCACAGGGATGGGCGCAGAGGAAGGATACACCAGGTAAGTGCAGGTGATCATCGCCCGCTGGCGAACTGGCGTCCGCATCGCCTCCAGCGGTTCTGCTTTTATGAACTCCTGGAAAGCAGAACAAGGTGATGGTTACAGTCACATCCACCCCACTCTGGGCACGGGACAAACTTCAGGGTGACTGCTGCCTCGAAGCCCAGCCTCCCCAAGATAGCAAGCCAGGAGCCACACCCCAAACGCTGCACAACAACCCCACACCTTGGGCAACGTGGCTACGGAGATGCAGCACCATCGCTCACTGCAAGTCTGCTTTTGCTCACAGCAAGCCGTGCTCCCACCGCTCAGCGCCTGCTGGGACCTGCCCTCTCTTGAAGGGCAGGCAGAGCCCACACTGCAGGTCCACAGCTCCATGGGGTCAGCACCCTGCCCCAGCAGAGCCCACACTGCAGGTCTGCAGCTCCATGGGGTCAGCACCCTGCCCCAGCAGAGCCCGGCAGACATGCGGGGACAGGGCTCAGCAGGGCAAACTCATACCCACCCTTCCCTCAAGGCTCCAAATGGAGCCGCTACGCCTACGCTTAACCCTCAGCAACGTGGGTTGGGAACCTCTCCCCGTGTCCTCTAGGCCAGCCCCAAGCCAAGCCACCCTCCAGGGCTTGCTCTTACCACCATCTGGGCCACAAGCTCAGCTTTGCGGGAGAAGATGAAGTCCCCACACTTCACACCATTGTAGATGGCTTGGCTGATCATGCAGATGCTCCGGATGAGGCACAGCTTCAGGGTCAGGTCCTGAGAGCAGAATCCAGGGTGAGAAGTGAAAACCAGGCTTACCACACAACCGTAACTTGTCATCCCACCCAGCACTGGTGTCCCTCCAAGAAAACTGGTGCTCAGGCTGAGCACAACAGCTTGGCCTGTACTGTTAGTAGCGTGTGGGCTCAGGTCTCTGCTCTTTATCCATGTTACAGTCTCTCTGGTGACCAGGGAGCAGAAGCTAGTCCACAGACTAGCTGGACACCAGGAATCTCTGCCCTGGCAGCACGGGGGAAGAGGACAGTCCTCCAGGTCTCCCTCCTCTCCACCGAGGCAGCACCCTGAGCGTGCAGATGCTCAAGGCAACTCCAGAAGCTGGCAGGAGCTCTTCCTCCTACACAGCTTGGGGCCTAGGACAGTCGACACGCGGTCGAGAGGAGGCACCCCAATTAAAAGCACTCCGCTCGTCCCAGCCCTCAGGTGAGCCCCTCAGGAGGACAGGGAGCCAGGAGAGGGTTTGAGCGAGAAGGTCCCCAGCTCGGGGGCCGGAGATGCTCTGCGGAAGCTGTTAGTGCCAGCAGGAGCCCAGAAGGAAAACGCATTAGTGGAGCCCAGAGAAGGAGTCCTTGGCCTGACAGTTCAACTTGACAAATGCCATTTTTCTTGTTCAGCCTTTAAAAAGAGAAATATAAAAATACAGCTCCTCGTTGCCCCCAGGACAGTAATCTGGATTTTAATATCTGCCCATTGAATGACCGTTCCAAGGGGAAGGAGGAAAATTAGTTTAGTGGATTTTAGCCGAGCTGTGGGTTGCAGCTCGGTCTCTGGAGTCCCCAAGCTTCCCAGCCGAGCACGTGTGCGGGGAGGCGGAGGGGCTGCCTGACCACCCTCTCTGCGGGCAGGGGAGGCGAGCACCGCACCGCACCAGAGCCCTGAGCCCCGGAGCGGCTCCAGGGAGGGAACCCCAGCCCTCGCCTCCCAGGGCAGGCACAGCTTGTCTTGCCACGAGTGCAAAACCCAAACTGGCTCGCTCCCTCCTGGGGACGGCTCTGAGAGCTCCAGCCACGCAGAGCTCGCAGGAAAGGCACAGCCTCAGCAGAACGGGTGGAAGGCGACAGGCTCAGGTCTGCCCGCAGGCAGCAAGCTCGGCCGCAGGCACCCGTGGGAGGCCAACGCAGCCTTTGGTCAGCTCAGCATTTCACCACAGTGGTGCCCACCCGAGCCACACTTTCACCTACGGCTCCTATCCTGCCAGAAAGGCATTTTTCTCTTCCCCTCTGCTGTGAGTTTTGGCACTTTCAGGCAACGGTTCCAGCACAGAGGTCTGGGCTGGGGAGCTCAGGGCGAGGAGCAGCAGCTCCCGCAGCTCTCCCGGTCCCCACGGGCAGAGGAGTGCTGCTGTGAGTGCAGCACGGGGCTGCTCTCAAGGGGAACCCAGAGCAAGAGGCAGACAGAAACAGCAAGAAAGAGCAGAGAGTAGTTCAGATTTAATGCCTCACACTGTACCTTGGTTTCTACCTTTATTCCCAGAACCTGAACAAGTGAAAAAACAAAACACATTAGCAATGCACGAGCAGACTCCGCAGTGAATGACCTTCTCCCAGGGGCTGCCCGCAGGTCCCAGCAGCCTCCTTCAGGTAGAGCATTGGCTGCTCCAGCTCACCTGGGCACGCTCTCCCTCCCCGGGGCGGACGGGGCATCCCAGCGGCTTACCTTGGTGTTAAAGTACTGGAAGATGTTCTTCAGGATGTCTGCTTCGATCCTGGACAGCACCAGCTCCTTGGGTGCATACACAGCTACGTATCCATAGCAGAGGATGAGAGTGCTCTTAATTTTCTCCACTTCATTGTCACTACGGTCCTGTTACAGCAGATGAGAAAGTTAATGGGGGGAATGGTGGGGAAGGCAAGGCCGGCTCTTCCCAGGTCTCACGGGGAGGTGGTTTCTGCAGGGTCTGCCTGACCAGCTGAAGGAGCCCCCAGAAGAACCTGAAACCCCTCTGTGCAGGTTTCAGGCCTTCGCTTCCCATCCTTTCGGTGGTGGCAGCCACCTCCAGAGCCTGACAGAGCATCAGGCGTCCGAGTGTGAGCTGCACTAACAGCACGCCTCTATCCGAGGCACGAGCCCCAGTTTGCCATCAAGTGTAACCTGTTAGAGCCCTGTAGGGAAGTACGTGAGCCCTAGCCTGGCCAGGTTAACCAGGTTAACTGCTGGTTAACTGCTGGTTAACTACCATGCTAGAAATCAGCATCCACTGCCCATTAACCAGCACTGCTGAAAGATTTCACCTGCACCATCCCAGTGAGCAGCTCATGGCCGACCCCCTCGCACCACGGCCCGAGGGGCAGGGCAGGGACAAGGGCTGCACGAGGGCTTCCTCGGCCAGCTCCCGAGCTCTGGGCACCTTTCTGTCGTGGGCCAGGGTCTCTTCCATGTCCGCGCAGCACTAATCCCGTCCCTCAAACATCCAGTCTTAGGGGCTGGGAATTAAAACAGCCTCCTGGGTCAGAAAATTTGAGGAGTCTGCAGGAGCGTAGGGCTGAGAGCGAGGAGCTAATGCCGAGCAGCCTCTGATGCCAAGAGCAGCTCTCTGGAGAGGTGGAGGGTATCCCAGCCCCCAGCCAAATGCACCGAGGCAGGAAATTAACTCCCTTCCCGAGGACCGCTCCAGCACACGCCGTATCTGAAGAAGGCTGGATGAGCCTTCTGCTGCCGGCTGTGTCACAGCAGGGGCCCTTGGCTCTTACCTTGAAGATACTGAACAGTCCCACTGATTTCTTGAAGACATCAGACCTAACAAAATCTTCCAGCTTGGCCAGAGTTTCCTCCAGGTGATTTATTGCACATATCCCAAAGCAGGAAGCAAGTCCCTGGAGGAAGCAGAGAAAACACATTAGCAGAAAGCTATTAATTCACCAGCCCCAGCTGACACTTAAAGAGAGCCTGTTTATTGGTTTAATTCCCAGCACCTGAGCTGTGCCCAGCTGGGAGCAGTCCTGGCAGCCAGCACTCCCCTCTCCCAGGGCAGGGACTTGCCTCCAGGGGATATAGGGCACAATAACGCTGTCCTTGTCTGCGTGACAGGCTGGGACACAGCTCTGTCCTTGTCTGGGTGACAGGCTGGGACACAGCTCGAGAGGAGCCACTGGGGCAGGACAGACACGGCACGCTCTCCAGCGGGCAGATGTCAGCCACTCTGCGGGAGACAGGAGCCCGGTCGAGCGCTCTGGCTGGAAGCAAGAGCAAAGCAGGCTTAGCAGGTCCTGCCTTTCTGCTATACCTCCAGGAGGTCTAGCAAGCTGGGCTGAAACTCCATAAACAGTTTATTCAAGAGCAGCCCTTGACGGCGTTGCATAAGCTGGAGCAGAGCCAGGCACCATTAGCTGGTGTTTGCACTGCACTTAAAGGCAGCTGGAGGCGGGGGGAGCGCTCGGCAGCAGGGCCATCGAGCCAGGCAGAGCAACACAGTGCAGGATCCCGCCTGGCCGAGTTTAAAGGGAAGCCAGAGCACGAGTCTGGCCGGGACAGGCAGGAAGAGCTCAACCCCGACCCCAGCTCCAGGGTAGCAAAGGAGGGTCTGAGCTGGCGGTGAAGAAAACGCCGCAAGCCATCCACAAGCAGATGACTTTTTAGTAGGGCCTGTAGCGACAGGAAGACCTTATTGCGGCCTTTCAGTATATAAAGGAGGCTTATTAGAAAGACAGAGAAAAACTTCACCAGGGCCTGTAGTGGCAGCACAAAGGGCAACAGTTTTAAACTGAAAGAGGGTAGATTTAGATCAGATATAAGGAAGAAATTTATTACACTGAGGGTGGTAAGACACTGGCACAGGTTGCCCAGAGAGGTGGTAGATGCCCAGAGAGGTGGTAGATGCCCCATCCCTGGGAACATTCAAGGTCAGGTTGGACGGGGCTCTGAGCAACCTGATCTAGTGGAAGATGTCCCTGCCCATGGCAGGGCGGTTGGACCTGATGACTTTTAAAGGTCCCTTCCAACCCAAACTGTTTGATGATTCTATGACTTGAGCACAGGAGCTGGAGGTTGCCCAGGGAAGGTGGAGTAGCATCCCCAGCTGCTCCAGCGAAGGCAGCAGCAGGTCTGTGGTGTTATGGCGGGTGCGAGGCTCAGTGGAGCACAGCACAGGAAGACAGAGATGTCAGCCAAGAGCTGCTGGAGCCCAGAGAAAGGTCTCACCAGCTGGAGATGCTCTGGGGAGCAGTAGGAGACACTGCCGCAGCCCCCCCAGGGTGACACCAGCTCGGTGGGCTGCAGCCCAGAGGAGTGGGAAGAGGTAGGTCCCCTCCCCCCCGCAGGGACGGGGCAACCTTGAGGGTCCAAGGGAGCAGGAGCTCACACCGGAGACACGAGTTAACGCTGCAGAAGATGGGAACATTTCATGATTCAGCCACGCTAATTTAACAGTTGGCTGTCAAAGCAGAGCGCTGAGCCCATCTGACCCCACGGCAAGCCAGGACAGGCAGCCAAGCCAGAAGAAAACTCCTGCTTTTTTTCTGTGGCTCTGGCTTAACTCCCCAGACCTGTGGGGCTACACGAGCCCCAGCTCAAGGACAAAGCAGGAGCCAAAAAGCCCCTTCTGGCAGCAGGCAGAGGCTCGCTGGGCTGTCACACACACAGAGTCAGGCAGGCTGCCAGGGACAGGACAGGGATGACAGCTCTGCCCACGAGATGGCTCCTGGCAGCAATAGAGCCCGAGCAGCTCCAAACACATCCCCGGCTGTCACAGACCTCCGTCCCTGAAACCTGCAGAGACCCTCCCGGCACCAAAGGATTTGTGGGTCCATTCATGAGGTACAACAAGGCCAAGCGCAGGGTCCTGAAGGGCAACGAAGCTGGTGAAGGGCCT